CCGAGACCATCAGTAAAGCAGATGAGTTGTGTTCACCATCCTTCGTTTAAGGTGATGAAGGACTAGTAGTTGAATTTTTCCACAATGATAGGACTAGAGCTAACGTTTCCATTAAATCTCACAGCCTCACTTTCGCAAAAGTTGTTCTTATCCAGGGTGGACTGCAGTTTCGACTTCGCATAAGTCTTATCAACACCCAAGCGGGAGTTGAACCATGACGCTGAAGCGTGTAAGCTCGACAGGTTAACCACGTTGCCACGAGTGCACTCGGGTCGCAGGACAGATGTGAATTTCTAGGTAATCTCGAAAAACCTAATCACTTACCGAAAAAGTAGTACTCGATTGGTATAGCAAATACGAATCTGCTTAATCGACGAACGCAACACAGAATATATGGAAAGTGTCTGCCATTCCTTGAAATTCACATCCGCCATGTAACCCATGCAATCCGCCACTCGCAGCAAGGGGGCGTAGTGATCAATGCGTCGAGCTTACACGCTGCAGTCATGGTTCGATCCCCCCTGGGGTGTTTTATAAGAGGTATAAACTGCAGCCCATCTTGGATGAAAACAAGTTTTGAGAAATTAAGGCTATTTGGAATTCAGCGGAAACATAAGATCTACTCATATCATTAATGGAAAATTATGCTACCAGTCCTTCATCACATTAAACAAGAGAAGATGAGCGCACCTCATGCAATTAGGGATTATCCGCATGTGGGATCCCCTTCTAAGGAATAAAGTTCAGTCCAAGAACGGCAGCTGTGCGTTCTAAACATAGATTGGAAATCCGACCTATCATGAGCATTAATTAAGAATAATTTTCTTATCCATGTGACCCGAGTTGTCATCAAGACAGGGCAACCGGCTTCAGCTGGTGAGGTGAATTCTTTGAATCCTCCCCCGAATTTTTCGTGGACATTCGAGTCGAATGATAAACTTGTGGGCAGACTGGACATATTACTCGTTCCGTGTTCATTCGACGATTGTAGTATCAGGGAATAGTTACATTATTTTCCTCGTACATAAGAGATATAGTGACGATGCACTTGTGACAAGTGCTTTCACAGATTGGCCAAAGCAATTATGATCAAGCATCAAGGAGACAAAGATAAAATTACCACTTCCTGAAATACACCTCAATGGGGGGAGCTGAGTCGTGCCTTGAACGAAGCGCTCGACTCTACCCACCAAACGGATGATGATGAACAGACTCCCGTCACTAGTTTCGCTCTGCTGCATGTAAACATATATTTAAATAACTATTTCGAGGAGCCTCTCATGCTTAGATGGGGCATCGATGGTAGAATAATAAGACAGCAAAAGCTGACCAATGAAGGCAGTGTCAAGGTGTTGTCAAAACCTAGATGACCAAAGTAAAAAAACCCATCAGATAAGCCCGGGAGGCTGAAAACAGAATGATAACACGCAAATAACAAGAAAGCCTCTTCGGCGCTACATAAGGCTGTCGCGAGCATTAGGAGCTTGCTTTTTTAGAAAACTTTCGCCGGCAGCAGCAATAGATGGCCGAGCAAGCCAATATTTCCTGCAACAAGCTAAGCTACGAAGTTAGACATAGAGCCGGCAGTTGGTCCCGTTTACTTATTAACAGAAGAAATATGGAAAAATGCCTCATCTACATATTCTCATGCTTCATAACACTTTATCCAAGCAGCTCAACCAGCCAATACAATGGCTTTGCCCTTAGGATTTGAGAAAAAGCAAACAACTGGAGATGGTTTCTGAGATAAGCAAATCCAGAGCCTGCATTGCGGCTAGTTAACGCTTCAAAAGTGAATGCCAAAATGAAATTGAAAAAGAATCATACTGGTGACAGGAGGGTAATGGAGCAATAGGATGGGAGCTTTACTTTAAATAATCAGCCAAGTGAGCCAAGCAGCAAAAGGCTGTCACAAGGTGCAAGGGCTTGTGTTCGCAGGTGAATACAGAAGACCGCCAAGGTGGCAACCTACAAGACAATGGGAGCCTGCCATAAGAGAAGACAAAATTAATTACCCCCCTCGCAATAAGCGTCTACACAAGACATTCAGTAGGCGTTAAAGACGAAGTGAAGAGACGATAAAGCCTAGTTGATAGGTGTCACACTGGAACTAGGTTACCGCGTAGCTGCCGTAAAAGCCGTCAAGGAAGTGGGCGCATAAAAGTGAAACGTTACACTCAGATGTACAAAGCAGGATAGGGCTGAAGAGATGAAAAATATGCCCACTTGCCTTGGCACCCACTAATGAGGTGACTCCGAAATCTTCAGCCGTTGAGGCGAATTGCAGTTTGATACAAATGATTCAATGCAGAACCTACGCACCTCATGATGGAGTACATCAAAATGCAGTCCGCAGATGGAATACGAACAAGGTAAGACGAATGGATGGTCAATGGCCTTCTAATGACTAATATGGACAGGACTGGAATTTTTGTGCTGATCCTCAAACTCAAACGCAAAATGATTCAAAGGCAAGAGGCAAACGTTGAAGTAATTCATGTGAAGAGTTAGTGTAAAAGCCTCGTCGGCCCATTCATTCCAAGTGTCATTCCAAGAAGTATGGGATACGGGCAATAACTGTCGGCAAATTAAAATGACTTGTGTAGAGTAATAAATATAGTTCAGGATGCATTGACACGAGTTTGATGTTGTCATAACTAGTATGATGGAGGCAGCTGCAAAAAAGTAAAGTCTGAGATAAGATAAAACAAAAAAGTAAACGACATACTGATACTGGGATAAATTAAATGAAAACCTGCGAGCGACGAGAAAGCACAATGAACTCAGGATTCGAGCCCTAGGCATGAGAAAGAGCAAACAATTGGCAGTGGCGACAAATTGAAAGGTGTATGGTGGATTCGGGAATAGATACAAGTGGGAGAAGAAAGTGCAAGGCCAGACACCAGTAAAAAATGTATGAAACAAACTGATTATCTGGCCCACCTGGCAGCATAGGATATGAGCTCTTTACAAGAATGCCGCTTGAGAGAAATGAGATGAATGCAGAAAGTGTGCACAAGAGCATGAAACATTTTGTAAACAGTTTAAAGACACAAAGGGCATCCCAGACAATCTGCTAGAAAGGTAAGACACAAGGTACGATAGCAAACTGGCGAATGAGATGTGATATCAATAAGGAGATGAAAGATCGGCAGGATATATCGACACTAACGATATATTGAGAATATAAAGTCACACGCACACAAACTAAAAATATATATATATATATATGCAAGCCCGCGACCCCCGGCGTGGAAGACAAAGATTTCCAGCAAAGGGAATAGATAACTGTATAGCTCGGAGTCAATGAGCAACTGGAAACCTCTATTGGGATTTTCGTGGAATTTTAACCAGTCGGACTAGTTACAATTCAGAATACTGCGAAATGACAGAGCAATCAAGCTATGTGCTTAGCCAAGTAGCAACAGGTAGGCGAGCAGAGTAATTACAATGATAAATCAACCAATATAGCAAGCACATTTGATTAGAGAAAAGTGACTCGGAACACGAGTGATCATGACTTTGAAGAGAAATATTGGCGTACTAATTAAACCATGTCTATCTCTACAAAAATGGGAATTAGATCACGCTGCTCATATGCCAACGTAAGAAAGCAAGTGGCAATGATCACGTTAATACATAAATTGATATATGCACATCATGGAAGATGGGCGAATGCAACTGCTTGGAAGTGTAGAAACTATTCACATTTTATTCACAGTTTACGTATTTTGGCGCACCGAACTTCGGGGTTATCACGGGAGAGCTCAGCACGGCCTAGAGCTCGATAATCAAATGTACAATCATGTTGATCGGAGTAGCGATGCAAAGAACAGAAAAGACCATCGCAGCGGCAAGTGAAACCTGTAATATAAAATGGCATCATAAGAATTTTTAAAAAGCAAATTTATAGTCTAAACAAAGGTACCTGTAAGCCCAACTCGTTTTTTGCATCTTACACAACGATTTGTGCCAGGATTGGTAAATGCTATCGATAAAAGAAACAATGACATTACAGAGAATAATTATTGCTAAGAATAATAGTGCAAATTTTTAGGAAAACATAGTAAATAGTGAAAATGTTATTAAGCATATATGGAGTAATACTAACGAAGCAGTTTCTCACCCCTTCTGAGTTCAGCAATAGATGAAGGGGGCTCACTCGGCACAGAATGGGAAAGGTCTGAACAAAATAATTTAAAATGATCAATTGTTTACGAAAGCTTAGACAGTGGAATTAACTAATCATACATCAGAAACATACCATCGCAAGAGGCGGAATGAATTTCGTCAGCCTTTCTTTTCATCATGGGTCTTACTGAGGTGCTGATGGTGTCGCTTGCATGTAGGTTGATGGTAGGGAATAGCGAAGGAGAAGAATGACTGCCCGTAGTGCTAGGGAGAGATTTTTGGCTGCCTGAAGACCTGCTGTCGGAACTTTGCCTGACGAGTTGAGAATTAGATTCTTTTTCACGATTCAAACGCTCCTGATAGCATTTAGAACACATATCTTTGAATTGAACACTGCCATAGAAACCGCAGCCGGCGGTACACAGATTCTTAGCGGAGGATTTATTTTCCATCTCAGGGGTTTCGTTATTCTAAAACACACAAGCAAGTTTTAAGTATAAAGGTAATTTAATACGATATAGGAAATAAATAAAAACGGTTAACGTCCAGGTAGCTTAAATTAACAAGGGATAAGAAGGATAAGAGACCCGAGAGCAGGCCCATAATGGCCGACAGCTACAAGCGTGAATAAGAAGTATAATGGTGAATAGAGCCTGACCAAATGCCAAGGATGACTAATTTAATGTCCCGAAGGGAAAATATAAGGGGAAAACTACCATATTTCAAAGGAAAACAGAAGGCTAGGACCAGACTAGGGCCTTCCCGCAAAAGCCGTTCAAGACCACTAACACAACAGACATATAAACAGTCCTCACTTAATTACCACATGCCTTGCTATTTTTGCACTATTTATCATTATTTAAAAATAGAAATTAATTTATAAGAAGTTCATTTTCTCTATATATCATATTTAACTTAAAAGTCAATGTGCCAGGTTAACGCAGCCAGACACATTTTAATGCCTACACAAATTATAGAAAGTAACAAAGTGCTATTAAATTAAGAGCATTTCATAGACATAGTTTATGGTCATGTAGATGCTAAATAGCTGCCTTCAGTGGATCCCCCTATAATGCGTTATTCTGACTCATCCAAACCAAAACTGCATTCGAGTTTTTACAATTGATATAAGATAAAATCCCGATAGCCGAGAAATGTTAATGTTAAA